CTTGATCAGCAAATGTCCAGTGATCTTCACGAGGCTCTGCAACAAGCTAAATCGGAATTAACTCTCAACCCGAATGAATCAGATGTGAGAACTGGAGGACTATTCGTATATAAACATAAAGACGGAAGCTGCTACCGCTGTATGGTGCTCTCCGAAGTTAACAGCGATCAAAACGAGCGGAAGTACGAAGTCGCTTTTCTCGACCGCATTCAAATCATAGTACTGAAGTTGAAATATCTTTTCGTAATGAAAGATCTCAGCCTCGAAAAATTTCCTTGCTCTCTTCATGTTGCTCGTCTTGTTGGAGTCACCATGTTCCGCCCCGGATACGTTACCGAAAACAATAACGAAATCAGGAATTTCTACAGTGACAAAATTAGAAAAAAGACTGGTGTGAAAGCACTTATCTATATGAAGAACATGGATGAGAGAAAACTAGTCATTGACTTCTTATCACTCAGTGGAAATTCGTTGACGAGTTCGGAAGAAATAAAGAAAATTCATGGACACAGTGCTCTGTCAGAAAGAGATCCATATCCGTTAACGTATCAGCAACTGATAAATCAGGAAATGCTTCCTCTGGAGTTCCCAGAATCAGTTCCAAATAAAGAGAACAATCAAAATGAACTGGTGATCGCAAACGAACTAGGAAATAGAGATGCTGACGAGAGTGATGATATCAGGTAAGTTGCACACACACAGACGTAACTTGATAATACTATTCCAGTCTCGATCTGTCTGATTTGAAAATTTCGGAACCGATCACTCTGAATATAGTTGCCAACAGCGAGTGTGCGTTCGGAAGATCAAGCATTCAAAAATTTCTAGATCAGCACAGAGCAATGACAAATCAGCTTCCATTGAAAAAACCTGGTGACGGGGCATCGAAAGAGAGTCTTCCCATCGAAGTTGTGAACGTAGCTCCACAAGTTAATGTTGTTGAGACGGCTGAAAAATATACTACGGATGCAAGATTAAATGATTCAGTTTCGAGTTTGCGTTCGGGAACAATTAGTCAGACAAGATCTTCAAATGTAACACCACAACCAACTTTCGACGATCTGCTCAGTGAAGAGGCAACGCCGAAGAAGTCAGCTCCTAACCTAAATGGCTCCTCTGATGGTTGGGACACGCCCAAAAAGTCTCCACCGAAGATGGAGGGTAGCAAAGAGTTCGGATTTCAAAAACCACTTCTAGTAAGTTAACAGCTGACCGATGTTTACTGTTCTCAATTCAACAATTCCAATATTTTA